AGTGAAATGCATTTACAATAAAGCCTCAATTTCTGTTTTTCTGCAACCTCTGATATTGCTACATTAAAAAAACAAAAACAAACAAACAAACAAACAAAAACCTATCACCGCATTCCCCCAATCCCAATAGAGGCACTGTCAGGGGTCTGCAATCTGACATCATCTGTTACAGTTTTCTGCAGCAGCAAGGAACAGGCAGAGCAGACTCCTGAGAGTAAAGGGACAGAACTGCACTATTTTCCCTGCCTTAACCAGCCCCGATTTCCTTTACCTGCCCACCATCCCGTGGCCAACTACCCAGGAACGGTGGGCTGCACCTCCACACTAGGGAGTCTGACATCCAGAAGGTTCCATTCCCTTCCTCAATGTCTGGGTTAGGCAAGGGCTCAGGCCATGGTGCTAGCCACTTAGATGTGAGAGAAACGCTTGGAGACATTTCCGCAAACCTAGGAGGCTCACGGGAAGACAGCCCCCTGCTCCTCGGCCACTGTTCTGCTACCAGCTTCAGGACAAAGGTGCTACACCCAGGATGGCAGAACCAAACGACGGAGACACCTTGGGTCCTCCATGACATCACTGAGCAGTCAACCAACGCTAGGACCTACTCCACTCTGACATTATGACATTCAACAGACGTTCTTCTCACTTTGGCCATTCTGAGCTGGGATTCCCATTACCTGCAGCTGAAAGCCCCGGATGGATACAGTACCCGGACCAGGACTATCCCTGCCCCTGGCCCTGGACAGTCTCATGCTCACGAGTTCTTGTCACACCCAGAAAACATACCCCAATTCTAGGATTTTATGCCCAGGACTGGGATGTTTCTGCCTATTAACATTCTTCTATTGGCTCCCACATGGACGCAGAATTCTCTGCACCTCCTGGTCTTTCCATCTACACTTCTTACTGCCTGAAATTTTTAAAAATTATCTTTATTGTTGAAAGTACTATAGATGTCCCCTTTTTCCCCATTGACCCCCTCGATCCTGCATCTCCCCCGGCTTTCACCACACTCTGTCCGTGTCCATGGGTTCTGCATACGTGCATTTAGAACGGCCCGGCTACTCTACTCTTCATCTTAGT